GAGGAGGAAAAGGAGGAGGAGGAGGAGGAGGAGGAGGAAGAGGAGGAGGAGGAGGATCCTCTCTACCCCCGGCGCCTCGCCGTACTGCCCGCTGGCGCGGTGGTCGAAGTCGTCCTCCTCCACGCCGTCGTCCTTGTCGCCCTGGGCCGCCCCGCACCGCACCGCACTCTGCGCACGCGGGCGCCGTCGCGGAGACGAGCGCGGCGGCTCTCGTGGCGGCTCTCGGGACGAGCCCGATGTGTTAGAACAAGACAGTTCCAGCCAGACATGCTCTAAGAACATGTCGTAAAAAACTCAAAAAGGTTCTTAGAACATTGTTTGGTAGGCCTATAGGCACGCCAGGACGCTCCGCCAGTGGGGGCGGCCGAGGACCGCGAGCGAGGGCCGTGCAGAGGTCGAGGCTCACGGAGAGGATCGAGCAGAGGACGATCGACGCCAAAAAGGGCCCCAAAATCCCGTGGGGGGGGGGGGGCCCACCCAGAGATCCAACGCCTTGAAAAAGATCGAGGCGGAGATTTCTCGCAAGTTTTGGCCTCTCGGGGCCCTCGCCGGGCCCCGGGACCGTCGAAAAACGACTCAGGACGAAAGCCGGTCCCGGGGAAAGGGTCGGTACTTCTGGGGACCCCGTATGGAACACATCACGACATCGGATCCCTGGGTAAGTTAGGAGGGCCAAAAACACTAGTGATAGGGGGCCCTCTGCTGCAGATGCATCGCCCCTGATGCGAATGGACGGGGGCCTCAGTGAGGCCACGTCTTCACTGTGCTATTAGGGTTAACCCTAACTAGGGGTGAAGCCTAATAGCACAGTGAAATCGTGGCCCTAAGTAGGGGTTAACCCTAATTAGGGGTTAACCCTAATTAGGGGCTCTTCTTTTATTCTCGAAGTGAGGAGCCACCAGACGCCCCGGAAGCACGACAAACACCACGAGGGCGGGTGCCTCGCTCTCCTCGTCCTCTCGCTGCGCCCTCGCCGGGCCCATGGGGCCGTCAGAGCAGGATTCGGGGTGAAGCACCGGTGCCGGGGAAGGGGTCGAGACCTCCACGGGGGTCGACGCTGTGATGAACAAATCCGGACGTCGGGCGTCTGGGGAGCGCGGAGGATCGCGGGATCGCGACCCAGACATGCGACGTCCTGATTTTTTCAGGACGGCGTCCCCGGAAGTCCAGACCCTTTCTCCAGGGCCGGTTTTTCGCCCTGAGTCCTTTTTTGACGGTCCCAGGGCCCGGCGAGGGCCCCCAGGGGTCGAAAATAGGGAAAACCTTGCCGTCCTGATTTTTTCACGACGCGATCATCTCTGGGGAGCGAGCATCGCCGAGGCCCGCGGAGGCGATCGTGGGAGGAGCGAGCAGAGGCCGAGCAGAGGTCGCGCGCGGAGAGGAGCGCGGAGGATCGCGAGGCGAGGGTCGCAGGGGGCACGCGGAAGGGGTGTCCCAGGAAGAGCGAGCAGAGGTCCTCCTCCTCCTCCTCCTCCTCCTCCTCCTCCTCCTCCTCCTCCTCCCTCCTCCTCCTCCTCCTCCTCCTCCTCCTCCTCCTCCTTCCTCCTCCTCCTCCTCCTCCTCCTACCTCACTCCTCCGCTCCTCCCCTCCTCCTCCCTCCTCCTCCCTCCTACCTCTCTCCATCATCCTCCTTCTTACCTCCTCCTCCCTCCTCCTCCTCCTCCTCCTCCTCCTCCTCCTCCTCCTCCTCCTCCTCATCCTCACTCCCTCCTCCTCGAGGGTGACCGCAGGAGGATCGGCCAGCATCGGCTGAGCATTTTCTAGGGGTGGAGGGCTCAGGGTGAGATCCATATGGGCTTCTGCACTTCGAAAATCAGTCCATCTTGTGATTCACCTTTCGCGGATTCTGGCCTCGAAAACCAATCGAAGCGGCATTTCAGATTTCACCCTTTGCCCTCCACCCAAAGAAACTGCTCGGATCGGATCGGGAAGCCGGGTCGGGGCGGGACGGGCGTCGGATCGGGATGCGTCGGCACCGGGATCGAGTCTGAACGGCCGCGTCAGGATGCACAGCAACGCAATGCAAACATCGGGCCTCATCGGATCGTCGGAATATCGGAGTCGAATCGGATCGAGTCGGCCGGAATCGGCATCGACTTGGATCGATCGGATCGACATACAACCTAGGATCAAGGTCGATGGGGATCGTTGATCGAGACTTGATATCGCTGGACAATTCTGGCTGGGGCCGCATCGAGCTTCTGGGCGGGACGTACCTCAAGGAAGGTCTGGCGCCGACTTTACAATCGGATAATAGAAGAGGGTGACCACGTCGAGCATCAAAGCTAACATTAGTTTTTGTTGTGCCTCTTGGGTGGGTGGGTGGGGGGCGCTTAAGGCCCTGGGGCCATCAGCAACAACCCGCGATGATACAGCGACCCCTTGAATGAGGTCGGAGGCTTCGGGGGGCACATCGTGAACAAACCACGGCGTCGAAGGCTCAGAAAAGAGAGGACGAAGAGGAGTGAGAGGACAGATGAGAGGAGGAGCGAGCGATCCAGTCACGAAGGAGGGAACTGACGGACAATAATGGGAACGCAAGAAATACTGTCCAAGAGGTACACCGGGAGTCCGCAGCCTGAGGGATTACGGGCAATCGTCAGGCGGAGAAGACTGCCCGCTTGGGAGCATGGGCGCGTCCGAAGACCCCCTCTGGCTGAGACCCCGGGGAAAGGCCGCGAGTTGTCTGCTGGCTTCACGCCTAAGCTGGACCTGAGAACTCGGAGGCGCTGTTCCACAGCGAGATGGCCCGATGCAGATCCCGTCCCAGCCCCCCTGTCTTTCCCCTGCCCCTGCTCCCCCTCCTAACCCTCCTCCGCATCTTGTTCCTCCTCTCCCTGCTGCTCCGCCGTCTCCTCCGCCTCCTGCTCCTGCTCCTCCCTCCGTCCTCCTCCTCGTCGTCCTCGTCGTCGTCGTCTTCAAGGTCGGCGGCACCGGCCGTGAGGCCTTCCCAATCAACGGCAGGAACGGGCACACCAGGAAGGGGGTTGGGGCGCAGCCTTGCGGAGTGGAGTGCTCCTCGCGGTGCCAGCGCTGCCCACGCGAGGCAGGATTTGTGGATCAGCGGCGGTCTTGCCTGCTGTTCTCAGTGCGCTGTTAGGTGCGAGCCCCAGGTGCACATGATAGCTCCGGGGTGCGTCCCGAGGCACCTCCAAGTTGCTTCAGATACTACCAGCGATGCGTTGCAGGGCAGGGGGGCACATGGACAGGGGTTGGGGGGTGCTTCTCACCGTCCCTTCCCTCTCCTCTTTCCTTTTCTCGTTGGCTCCATGCTCCGTCTTCTCGGGGCTCGTTGTCGTCATTCTGCCTGGACGCCTGGAAGCGTCCCCTCCTCGTCACCCCCATGTCGTCGTCACATCCTCCATTACCATCCTCATCCTCCTTCTCTGTCCTGTCCTCCTCTCCTCATCCTCCTCCTCCCTATTCCTCCCTCCCTCGCTGCCCCTGTCTCTCTATATCCATGCATCTCTCGATGTGTATATATATACATGTCTCTCTCTCTCTGTCTGTATGTCTCTACCTGTCTCTCTCAGTGTCTCAGTGTGTGTGTGTGTGTGATTGGTTATCTCTCTCTATATCTCTCTCTCTCTCGCTCGCTTTATCGTCCTCCTCCTCCTCCGTCTCTTCCTCCGCCTCCTCCTCCGCCTTCTCCTCCGCCTCCTCCTCCGCCTCCTCCTCCGCCTCCTCCTCCTCCTCCTCCTCCTCCTCCTCCTTCTCCTCCCCCCCCTCGTCATCCCTCCTCATTGCTATGAGGGGAAGTGTTCCTGAGGGAAGCGCATGCTGGACTCCAAGACTTCCCAAGGACGTGCTTCTCATCCCGCACTGCTCGCTGACGACACCGGGCACCCAAGAGCGACGAGAGCACGGCGAGACAGCCAAGACCGTGCTTTTGCATCATGGTGGCAGACGGCTCGCTGAACGCAGCTTCGCCGTAGGGTCGGCATGCACGGTTTCCCCCGGGGCCGTAGGCGACACGAGGAGGAGGAGGAGGAGGAGGGAGGAGGAACAGGAGGAGGAGGAGGAGGAGAAGGAGGAAGAGGAGGAGGAGGAGGAGGACGGGTCGCCTAAGTCCTTCGGAGAAACCCGCCAGGTCGGCAAGGGTAGCCGGCGCCCGAGGAGGGGGCCCAGGAACGCCGCCGATTCCGTTGTCGGCTACACGCGAGAGTGACCCCAGGCAAGAGGGACCAGCGGTGCGCGGCTTCGCTCCGCGGGGGACGCGGGGTGGCCAAACCTGGGCGCACGCAGCCGCTGCCACCGCTTCGCCGTCGGCCGTCTGGGGGCCCATCTGTGCCCGCACCAGAGGTCACTCCGGCGAGAGATCTCTCTCACGTCCCCAGACATGCGGCGTCATGATTTGTCCAATGCGGCGTCCCCCGAAGTCCAGACCCTTTCCCAAGGGCCGGCTTTTCATCCTGAGTCGTTTTGTTGACAGTCCCGGGGCCCTGCGAGGGCCCCCCGACGCCGAAAATGCCCCCAAACCTCTCGTTCTGATTTCTTTTCGACGCGATCATGTCTGGGTCTAGTCGACGTTGACAGCTGGGGTACATGTACATGGAGGCCAGGCGAGCCGCGGGCCCAGCAGATGGGGGGGCCAGCCCAACCCGCGGGAACCCCCGAGGGCGCGTGTGAGAAACTCGGCTTCCGAATGCTCACTGCCCTCCAGAAGATGGAGGGGCCAGACCGACCTTGTGGGGTTTCCGGGTGGCCAAACACAGTGAGCCCAACTCCGGGATGCCCTCGGCTGCGAGCGAGGGGAGGAAAATTGAAGTAGGAGACCTGCTCAGAAGGCGGCAAGACCTCTCAGAAGGTCTCGGGCCTTTTGAGAAGTTCTCTCTGCGTCTTCGAGGAAGGCTCAGAAAACTTCTCAGAAGGCTGGGGGACTCCCGATGCTTCTGCCCGCCCCTTTCACTTCCCCCCCGGGCTCGCCTCCACTTTTCGGGTGGCCAAACACATTGGAGCCCAACTCCAGGATACACGATGGGGGGGTATCTTCAGATTCTTCACGACAGGACCCCTGGACCTCTGGACCACTTCCAATATTTGTGTGATTGTCCTGGGGCCCAGCGAAGACCGCGACGAGGCCGAAAACGACGAAAAACTGACTCCTTGATTTTGTCCAGTACGTTGGAGGTCTGGAGCATAGCACGGTATTGCGGAAGGCCCTCCTATCCTCTCGGGAAGCAGGAGCGGCGAACATATCCGTATCCGCGGCGAACATATCCGTATTCGCGCCCTCGCGCTCTGGACTCCAGTGCGCGATCCCGCGGATAAAAGGGCGCACGGATACTTTCTGCGCGGGGCATCCGCGAAATAACCTTTTGTATCTGCGGGGTCGCAGTCCGGGGCCTGCTCGGATACGCATACCCTGTGTCCCTCAATAGTTCTGGGGGTACCCGTAGTCCGAGGAGGGTTCCTGTAGTCCGCCGGAGGGGTACCTGTGGTTGGGTAGCTGTAGTCCCGGGGAAGTGTACCTGTAGTCCAGGGTGGCTACGGGGGGGGGGGGGGGGGGGCATGTTCACGCGTCAACGCACGCGTGGACGTAGTCAAGGGGGGGGGGGGGTACCTGTAGTCCATGGGGAATACCTCTAGTCCGTGGGGGGGTACCTGCAGTCCAGCGGGAGGGGTACCTGTAGTCCGGGGGAGGGGTGCGTGCTGCCTGGGGAGAGGGCACCTGTCGTCCGGGCGGTACCTGTAGTCCAGGGACACAGGCCCAGACATCCGACGTCTCGATTTTTTCGAGACACGGGTCCCCGGCCTTCCCGACCACTTCCCCAGGGCCGGTGTTTCGCCCCGAGTCGTTTTTTGACGGTCTCGAGGCCAGGCGAGGGCCCCGAGAGGCCGAAAACTACGAAAAACCTCCGTCTCGATTTTTTAGAGACGCCCGATGTCTGGGACCTGTAGTCCATGGGACACAGAGCTCGATGTTCGCTCACGAGGGAAGCCAGCCGCCGCACGGCATGGGCCGCCGAGGGGGGAGGCGGCGCGCAGGCCGCCGCCCCGGCACGCGCACATGGCTATAGGGAGCTGGCGGGGCGGCGTGAGCCTCTCAGGCCAGCCGCCCAGTGCATCGCGGCAGTGCTCCGCGGCAGCCGCGGCGAGGCACCGCGGCAGCCGCTCCGTGCCCCCCGCGCAGCGCCTCGCTCAGTGCACCGCGGCGAGGCACCGCGGCAGCGCTGCGCAGTGCACCGCGGCAGCGCTGCGCAGTGCGCCGCGGCAGCCGCTCAGAGCACGCGGGCCGGCCGCTCAGTGCACCGCGGCAGCCGCCGCCTCGCGCTCCAGGCGCTCGGCCCGCAGCGCCTGCAGCCGCAGCTGCAGCGCGGCGGCGGAGCCCGGCGCGGGGCCGCCGGGTCGGTGGAGGCGCGCCTCTTTTGCGAGGGGGCACGTCACGCGCGCGGTCGGGAACTTCCCCCCTCCGATCCAGGCGTCGCCTTGTTGTTCGCGCCGGGCGTTCTGGCCCGGCTTCGGGCCCCGGGGCCACAGCGCAAATCGGTGCGGCTTGCCAGGGTCCGGGGTCCAGGGTTCCCGTGGCAAGCTTGGTGGCGATGTTGCATGTGTCTCTGGGCGGCGCCGGAAACACAGCGTGTCGCGGCGGCAACCCTGGCGACACGCCGTGCCGTGCGAACGGATAGCGTGTCGCTCCGCTCCGCGGGGCGGGAGGCTTCGCAAGGCTCGGGACGTTGACGGTTGTGTACTGGGGCGTGGACAGCGTGTCGCGCCGAGGCGTGGTGGGCCAGAGCCAGCGCGACACGCACGTTCGCGTCGACATGTTTCGACGCGTCCCCCCATGGCGATCCTCGCCTTCCAATTTGCGGGTCAATAACTCGGGCTTCCCGACGGCACTTCGGGACGATCCGGGCACGCCCGGAACGCTCTCGGCGAGGCGCACCTGCCGGAACGCATCCCGAGGCTGGACAACCGCGGAGAACCGGCAAGAACCTGCGAATACCTACCTAGAGCCTAACCTCGACTCTCGCACGGACGAGGAGACACGCGAGGCGGCGCCTCGGTGTACCTCTTCTGCGACTGCGCCGTGCGCTGGGCGCGCCGCCGCGGGTACGCCTCGTCCGCCAGGCATTCCTGAGGCGGAACGATCAGAAGGGGATTGAATCGGCGATACATCGCCGATACATCGGCCATATTCCACCGATAGCGAATCCGCCGGGGGGGGGAGGGGGAGTAGGATCCGAGGAGGAGGAGGAGGAGGCGGAGGAGGAGGAGGAGGAGGAGGAGGAGGAGGAGTAGGCGGAGGAGGAGGAGGAGGAGGAGGAGGAGGAGGAGGAGAAGGAGGAGGAGGAGGACGAGGAGGCGGAGGAGAGGGGGGGAGAAGGAGGAGGAGGAGAAGCAGTAGGAGGAGGAGGAGGAGGAGCAGGAGGAGGAGGGAGGAGGAAGAGGAGGAGGAGGGAGGAGGAGGAGCAGGAGGAGGAGGAGAAGGAGGAGCAGGAGGAGGAGGAGGAGGAAAAGGGAGTTCTACGTGGATGCTACGTCCCAGACAGGAGCGCGTCGTAAGAAAAATCAGGACGGAAGTGTTTCTCAATTTTCGGCCTCTCGGGGCCCTCGCCGGGCCACCGGACCGTCAAAAAGCGACTCAGGAGGAAAAACCTGTCCTGGGGAAAGGCTCGGGACTTCCGGGGACCCCGAGTTGAAACAAAAATACGACATCGGATCTCTGGGACGGAGGCGCGAGGAAACTGTGCACCTCGAACCTCGACCCCCTCAGCCTATGTTTATTTATATATATATACATCCCATTAGTAGAGGCCTCCTGGATGGGTTCCGAGTAGATGGGGTCCGAGGACTGCGCCGCATCGGCGATGCATCGGCGATACATCGGCGATGCATCAGCGATGCATCTGCGACGTCGGCGCGGCATAGGCGCCATCAGCGCGGAGAAAATCGGGCGCCACATGGAGCCGCATCGCCGATGCATAGAAGATGCAGCGCCATCCTCCGACCCCATCTACTCAGAACCCATCTAGGAGGCCTAAAAGCCCAGACATGCGGCGTCCTGATTTGTTCAGGACGGCCTCCCTGGAAGTCCCGACCCATTCCCCGGGACTGGCTGTTCATCCTGAGTCGCTTTTTGACAGTCCCGGGGCCCGGCGAGGGACCCTGGAGGACCCAAACTGGGAAAAACCTCCGCCTTGATGTTTCCAATCCAATGCGTTGGATCTCCGGGACTCGGACCCCATCTGGGAGGCCTAGAAGCAGATCCCCCCCCAAACGTTGAGCCCCCAAGACGCCAGGGAGAAGCCAGGCGCAGCGGCCGCGAGGGGCGGCAGCGGCCGGAGCGCGGTGCCGCGGCGCTCGAGCAGCTGGTGCATGCCGGGGAGCTCGGAGAGGCTGCTGGGCTTGGAGGCGGCTGGAGGGTCCGAGACGGGGAGGTCCCGAGAGAATCGGCCAGGGAGGCCGCCGAAAAAAAAAGCCGGAGGCCGCGGAAGAAAAAACGCGGAGGCCGCCGGAACAAAGACGCAAAGGACGCCGAAACAAGAAAGCCGAAGGCCGCCGAAAAGAGAAAGAGGGCCGCCGAAAAGAAGCTCATCCACGTCCTCCTCCTCCTCCTCCTCCTTCCTCCCTCCTCCCTCCTCCTCCCTCCTTCTCCTCCTCCTCCTCCAACTCCAACTCCAACTCCTCCCCCTCCTCTTCCTCCTCCTCCCTCTGCCGCGACTTTGGTCGCGGCGCGCGGGGGGATCTGCCCCGACACCAGCTTCTCCTTCCGAGCCGTTGCCTGACAGCCCCGGGCGCCTGGAGCCCCAAACACATGGCCACAAGCTCGAGCGTCGCGTAGTAAATTTGGGGGCGGCAGGGGCTGCAGACAAGGGGCCCTTTCGAAGGCCCCTTAACGAGGCCCTGAAGGGTCCCCCAAATGGGGCCTCTGGGGCCCGAAGCGTGCACCTTCGTCGCCCCCCCATTCAGCGACGCCGAAGTCCTGGCGTCTCCAAAGACAAGTGTCGGTTTGGGAGGATGGGGCTGGGAGAAATGATCGGGTCACTCGTGTCACCTCGTAGGGGGAGGAGGAGGAGGAGGAGGAGGAGGAGGAGGAGGAGGAGGAGGAGGAGGAGGATGAGGAGGAGAAGGAGGAGGAGGAGGAGGAGGAGGAGGAGGGGCGCCGCGACCACAGTCGCGGCAGAGGCCCTCAGGGGACCCCCCAGCCGGCTCCAGTGCTGGACAGCGGCGGCCTGCGCGCCAGGGGCCCCGCTTGGCCCGCGGGCGCCTCGGGCGGCGGCGGCGGCGGCCCTGGGAGGGCAGGCTCCGGCGGCCTGGCGGCCTCGTCGTCCTGCGCCTGGCCCGCGGGTCGCGTGCGCGAGGGCGTCGCCCCCGCGGCGGCGGGCTCCTTGGACGCCTGCGGGCACGGCGGAAGTCAGGAGGGAGGAGGGCGGAGGGAGAAGGGCGGAGGGAGGAGGAGGAGGAGGAGGAGGAGGAGGAGGAGGCGGAGGAGGAGGAGGAGGAGGAGGAGGAGGAGGAGGAGGGGGAGGAGGAGGAGGAGGAGGAAAATGAGGAGGAGGAGAAGGGGGAGGAAAAGAGGAGGAGGAAAAGGAGGAGGAGGACGGGGAGGGGGAGGAGGAGGAGGTGGAGGGGGACAAGGAGGGTGAGAGGGAGGGGGGGACGATCAAGGAGGAAGAGGAGGAAGAGGAGGAGGAGGAGGAGGAGGAGGAGGAGGGAGTAATACGTACGGGGTCCCAGGAGGTCTGGAGCCTTTCGCTAGGGCTGGCATTTCATCTGGAGCCTTTGTCTGGCAGTCGAACGAAACGGGGACGGGGAGACGGGGCAGGACGACAGACGCCGAGGTCCAGGCGGCGCCCGCTGGCGCCGAGGCGGCCCAGAATGTGACCGACGCCGAGGGGGAGGTCAGCGAGGCCAAGGATCGGTACGATCGAGATGGGCACGGAGAGGGGGGCACGAAGACCAGCAGCAACTCCTGCGCATTCTGAGCAGGACTCGCTGCCAGTGTCGCCGCGGACGCCGCCGGCACAAGCGAAATGGGGACGGACAAAATCCCAGACATCCGAAGGCTTGAGTGTCTCCATACGGGATCCCCAAAGGTCAGGAGCCTTTCCACAGGGCCGGCCCTTCATCCTGAGTCGCCTTTGACAGTCCTGGAGCCCGGCGAGGGCCCCCAGAGGCCGACAGTTGTGAAAGGTCTCCGCCTTTAGTTTCTCCAGGCGTTGGACGTCTGGACGGGTAATTACGACGACCGACGGCAGTTCCTGCTCATCTTAAACAGGCCTCGCTGCCGATGTCGCCGCGGACGCTGTCCACTTGAGACAGAAGGTCGCCTGGTCAACAGCGGCCGCTGTCGGTTCTGGACAGCATTTTCGGCGGTGGAGAAGCATCCCTTTAGGTAAACCACCCTTTAGTGAGAACGGCCTCGGACCGAAACCGACGGACCTATACCCGCAACAATGTCGGCCGCAACGCCCTCTCGCGAACCGAAAACGGTCAATTCGCTAATCGACGTGTCAGGGAAGGAGGTCTATTTACCTCCGACATCTGTTGGTTGGCATCGTGCCCACGTTTTCCGTGCCCGCTCTGGGCGTCCAAAGCCTGGAAGCGGGGGCTCGGGACCCCGGACCTTGCTAGATCGATCTGGTTCGGCAAGCGCATAAGAAAGATAGGGTCCAGGGCTCGCATAGGCTTCCCATAGCCATAAGAATGCGTTTTTGAAGCTCTGTGCCGGCCTCGCCCTTCACATGGCGTTGTTGTTGTTGCTGTTGTTGTTGGACTCTCATGTCTGACAAAATAAATGTTGTTGATCTCACCCCTTCTGGTCTGTGTTCTCCAAATTGAAGTGCCCCTCCTCCTGGGGCTCGCACCTGCAGCTTGATCAGGGATAGTTTTCCTGCTCAAGCTGTGGTGTTGGCCCCCGGTTTACAACAACAGCGGCTCCCGCTTGATACTTCCTCACCATGTATTCCCAAATCGCGCTCTCGCGCTGGACTTCTTCACAATTTATGTACGCATCGCGCTCTCGCGTGAGACTTCCTCACAATTTGTTCAGACGATGCGCCCTCGCTCTCGCTTTGGTCTTTCTCACGGTTTACTTGAGAATCGCGCTATCGCTCGAGACTTCCTCGCGATCCATGCGGGCCCCCGCTTCAGCAACCCGCCTGCTCGACCTGGTCGCCTGGGCCCGCCTTCCCGACCTGCCCGCTGTGGGTCTGCCCACCCGATCTGCCCGTCTGGTGTTACCACTTGCTCTATGTTATTTTCCCTCCTCCTGCTAAGTTCTCTCGTGCTCCATTCTTCTCCCTCCCCCTTCCACCCGTCCTCTGCTCCCCTGTTTGAGGGACTTCACTAAATGCCCGTGGCAAGTGAGGAAGATACACCCGCAAGGGGGTACGATCGAAGACGACAAGGGCGGGCACCGAGGGCTTTGGATAGACGTATTGATTGGCACGTGAACAGATTGGAGCGAACAGTCTTAAACGTGTTGTTGTATTGTTGTTGTTGCTGATGTTGTTGACTTCTCGTTATCAGAACTATTATTGTTGATCCCATCTGGGCCACATTGTGTTGCTTCAATCGAAAGTGCCCTTCCCAAGGCTCTGTTGGCAGGTCAGGAAGATATACCCCGACGGGGGTACGATCGAAAACGACGAGGGCGGGTACCGAGCGCTGGGGGTATACGTTTTGGATGGCAAGGGATCAAATGGGAGCTAACAATATTGAACTGATTGTTCTTATTGTTGTTGCCAATGTTGCTGCTGTTGTTGATGATGCTGTTGTTGTTGTTGCTTTTGCTGCTAATGTTGTTGTCGTTGTTGTTGTCGTTGCCGTTGTTGTTGTTGCTGTTGTTGTTGATGTTGGTGTTGTCGTTGTTGTTGATGTTGTTGTGATTGTTGCTGTTTATTGTTGATTGTGTCGTTGATGGTTGATGTTGTAGGTGGTGTTGTTGTTGCTACTCCTGTTGCTGGTGTTGCTGCAGTTGTTGGTGCTGTTGCTGTTGTTGCTGCTGGTGCTGTTATTAGCGTTGATGTTGTTGTTGAACATTATTAATTCTAAAGAATAATTATTGTTGGGCCCCCTGGTGCACGCCCCCCCCCCCGCGCCTAGGCCGCAGCCACATTTTCATCATTTTCGTGAGGAAGTCTCAGGTAAAACGATGTCATCCAGATCCGGTTGTTTTGTTGACGCCCGCTTTCCCTGCAAAAAACACTATAAAATGACATGTCTTGTTCTAACATAACCAAACTTCAAGAATCCTTTGAAAAAAATGACACGAAGTGCACACTCGCGCGCGCAAGATGAAATCCTTCCAAAACCTTAGTTTTCGTAGCGATTTTAACATAAAAACATGAAAAACCCAATGGTTTTTCAAAAAAAAGCTTCAAAAATTCATCTTGCGCGCTCTTGCGGATTTCTGAGGAAACCCAATATTTTTTCAACATTTCTGTCAAACGGGCTCTTGCGAGCAACTTGTTCACGTGCTTCGAACTTCTGCAACCACGGTTGCGCGCATGTCAGGGCCATCATCCCTGTCAAATAATACCATATTGGACACATTCGTTTTTTCTTCGCGCGCGCACGCCGTCGTCGTCGGCCGCGGGGCCCTGAATAGTAGCCACGGTCGTCCGCATGCCACGAAGTGAAGTGTCCGAACGTCATAGGGCGGGAAGCTGGGTGTGGGTGGTGGCGAAGAGTCGTTTGGAAATTTGGTAGAGCTTGAACCGGCCCCCCCACAAAGTGGGGGTATTGCCCGCCTCCTATGAAAACCCTGGCACTGGTGAGAACGGAGTGTCCCCAGTCTTAAATGATTGTTGTTGTTGTTGTTGTTGTTGTTGTTGTTGTTGTTGTTGTTATTGTTGCCCGCTCAGACCTGATGTTTTCCCACCAAAGCCACGCAGGGCACGTGCAACCCACTTACGGCGGGTTCGTGTCGTGCCGACTTCGGCGCTGGTTTCTGACACAGCGGGGATCGTTCAACCTTGAATGATCGGCCGCTTCCGAAACGTCAGATCGCTCAACATCGACCGAATCTGGGTCGCCGGAGGCGTTGGACCCTGAACGCGGGCGGCGGGGTCGCCGCCGGTCGACACGACGCGAACCTGCCGTACATGCTTGCTACGAGGTTCGGCCAGATCCAACCCACCTGAGCATCCACTCGGAACACTCGTCCCCTCAGCAACACCAGCGGTGATCTAAGTGGTCTGCGCCGCGATGTCTCACAAGCCGCCGCGATTTCTCTCACAGCGAGAGGAGGTGGGCGCTGGTCTTCTGGAGGCTTCCGAGATAGGGTCTCAATAAATAAGGGCGGAAGATCGCGCCGCATCGCCAACGCATCGCCGATGCATCGGATACGCCGGCGATGCATCGGCGCCGTCTGCAAGGACAACATCGGGATCCACATCGAGCCACATCGGAAATGTGTCGACGATGCGTCTCGATCTTCCGACCCCGTCTGCTACGGCCCCGTCTGAAAAGCCACTTAGGGCACGTGCAACTCACCTTCACGCGAGGACAGGCCATATAAAACCAACGTAGCCTCCACCTAGAACTCACCTACAGTAGGAGCTCGACCACAATAAACCTTCCAGAAGAAACCCAACCCTGAGACCTCAGGATACCCATTGATGTGTTGCATGGGGACGTCACCTTTTCCATCGCAGAACAATCGAAACCCAAGAAACGCAGGGCATATTGGTGACAAGCAAGGTGTTTCTTGGCATGGGTTTCCACCCCAGACATGCGACATCCGGATGTTTTCAGTACGGGGTCCGTGGAAGTCCCGACCCTTTCCCCGGGACCGGATTTTCATCCTGAGTCGTTCCTGGAAGGTCCCGAGGCCCGGCGAGGGCCCCCCGAGGTCGAAAACGGGCAAAAACCTCCCGCCATGATTTGTTTTACGACGCGATCACGTCTGGGACGTAGCATCCACGTAGAACTCCCCTTTCCTCCTCCACCTCCTCCTCCTACCCCCTCCCCCTCCCGCTCCTCCTCCTCCTCCTCCTCCTCCTCCTCCCCCTCTCTCCTCCTCCTCCTCCTCCTCCTCCTCCTCCTCCTCCTCCTCCTCCTCCTCCTCCTCTGGGGCTGCGCGGGGGGGCCCTGTGGAGGCCAGCTGGGTCTACCTGGGGGGCCTGTCCTGCGCGCCGCCCGAGGCCTTTTACGACCCCGCCTGCGCTCAGGAACGGTTGCGCAGCGTGCCACGGCGGTGGCCCCAGCGACACGCTGTGCCTTGCGAGCAGCTGGCGTGTCCCTCCGCTCCGCGGGGCGGCCCAGTCATCGGGCGTCTCGAAAG